GCCGAAAAAAAATAGACTAAAAAATAAAAAATAAAAAATACTTTTTTTTTTGTCGAAGATGAGATTCGAACTCTTGCGTACAAAAGGTGATGTATCTAAAGTCAGCGCCTCAGACCTCTCGGCCATCGCGCGTTGTTAACATGCTTGGCAGTTTTGTACAATATATACATTAGATGGATTGAAACCGGCTTCGCGTGTGATGAATGCTTCGCAAAAGCTCCATATACGGACTCTTCTTTTACTTTTGCAATGCATATTGGCACGAACTTAGATCAAGATCTATCGGCAGATGTTGTTTTTTTTTTTTGGAAGTTTATTTTCGTCTTCATGTCAACAATGCAAGATAAAATTGTCGGTAAGATCGATCGAGATTCAATTGTATTGAAATTACCGACCAATCCTTCGCACACATACGGTATCCTCCATCGCTCAAACCATTTTTTAACATGTAAACCTATGGGGTAACCATGGAGGCTGACCAACTATTTTTAATAACCATGGTTATTAAAAATATTGAAATGTTTTAAGCATGTTACCGAGAATTTTACAGGAACAGTTGAAGTTTATGAATGCAATTCGACCAATCAGATGGCTGGATTTCTTAAGTGAGGTATATAATATGATATACCACATATATAGAGCCATTGTAGTACTGTCTATAATGGTAGTACAAGTACCGCGGTAGTGCTGTACTAATGATATTGGATATTTATATAGCGCACATATACACATGCATGGTGCTCAAGGCGCTCCAACTATTATCCCGATTTCCGCGCTCACAGCATTCAAGGAATTTCTTCCTACCAGTACCCATTTAACACCTGGGTGGAGAGTGGCAAATTTAGATTAATATCTTGCCAAAGAATACTAGTGCCATGGTAGTACCATGTTTTTTTTTTGGTAAGGGCTACATATTTGAAATGATTCAATGTGCCCCCAAAGAAAAGCGGCAATATCCTGACATAGCAAAAACCACCATTCACTACCTAAAGTATAGCACCTCACACGTTCTGGTCTCCTGTTTCCAACCCCATAGACTCTACACATAATAGTAAGTGGGCATGCAAACCAAGTGGCTTCTGAAACCACTCTATAGCTAGAAAAAACAATCTCCAACGCTATAGAGATTTCTTTCATCCACTTTCTTTTTACATAGCCAATGCCCAATTATATATGATTTTGTTTTCACAACATTGAACCCACATATAAGACTGGCACCACTTAGCTCTGAAGTCAACTGTACAAATAACAGGTGGCATAGTGCATTCAATGTGATGAGACACTGCTTCTACCACTCTGCATGTACTATTCTTTGGTGGCTGCATGTGTACCTCGAGCTTCTTGCAGCGCACACAGACCAAGTGGAATCATATGACTCTGACAAGGGACATTGCTAGGTGAAGGGGGGGGGGGGGGGGACGTAAAAAAAACACCAGTAAACTTCTGCAGTTTACAATCCACATAATTTGTATGAGAACAAGCCGTAAGAGGCAAATTAAAAGAAAATCATACTCCCACCACCCCTTTTTGGGGGTCGTTGGTAAATTTTCAGTCTCTCCTCCCCCCCCCCCCCCCTCCAATTCAAAATAGTCTAGAGATGCTTAATTTAGGCCTATGAATATCAAATTTTTGGTTGACATGTGATGTATCAATGTGTGCTTCATGTTGTAGTAAGGATTTACAGGGTTATGATGTCATATCTCAAAATTAGGGAAAACATTAAAGTGTGGATCAAGGGAATATTTTAAAGATGGAAAGGGGCTTGCTATCACAGAGAGAGAGAGAGAGAGAGAAAGATTCTGAAAAATTGAAATGAAATATGGGGGATTCAATTTTAATCACACTTTTGAGGATTCAGAAATCAACTGCAACAGGTGCAGAAACACAAACTATTCTTTTCTCTTTCTCTCTCTCTCTCTCTCTCTGTCTTGCTTAGAGCCAATATTGTATTCACATAATGACCTCCTAACGTGTAGCACAGCCACCCAGTAAACTTCAACTTTTCTTTCAGAATGTGCACTTGAAAAAATCAATCCAATCCAATCCAATCCGGGAATTTGTAGAGTGCCAATATCTAGAGGGTGGTTTCACAAAGATATCCCAAGTTGAAGTTTTTTAAAGTTTTTTTAAGTTGGACTTAACAATTATGGAAAGCCTTTAGCATCTTTGAAAATATTTTATTATATAAGTTATTTTGAAAGGCATGAAATGTTGATTCAAATCATTCATATTTTCTACTATCAAGGAGATTTCATGATGTTGATGTGGAATTTATGAAAAGTCTAAAATAATTGAATTTTGGCTTTTGAATGTATTTTATTTTCATGCTACATGTACAAATGGCTCTCCATAATGTTTAAGTTTAACTTAGAGTTAAGTTTGACTTGGGATCTTTGTGAAGCACCCCCTGGTTGCCTAGTTGAAGGCAATGTGTGAGACTGAAAAACTTCTTAACATGCCATCCCTGATTCACCTGGGAAAGACTGGGAAACAGTGGTTATAAGCAAAATGAGTCTAAGCATGTCTTTAGCTGGGTTTTGAGAGTAGAGGTCACAAGAGCAAAGGTCATGAGGTCATCACAAAGGTACTAAAAGGTTGGATGGGCCTATGAAATTTAAAGGACATCCACTGGACATGTACATGCATGCAGCAGTTCAAATTACAAAAATGTTTTCAGGCCATAGATTTACTGTATGATTCTCTCCCTCCCTCTCTCTTTCTCTCTCTTTCTTTATCTCTCTGCATACTTTAAGAATTCCCTATATCATAAAGCATCTGTTTATCATATTTGTTTGTAATTTTCATTCACACTACTGGCAATTCATTTATAGGTACTATACATGTACATAGAGGTTTTTTTTAATTCATATTATGAAATAGTGGAAAAGAAAATATATGTAATTGTTACCAATCTGAGGAAGAAAAGGGAAATCCAACAACCTTAATAGCAAACAAAACAACAAGAAAGAAGAAAAAAGTAAGAGCAGCAGAAGATGAAACTTTGATCAGAATCAAATCAGACAAAAATTTAAGAAAGATATGGATCTTTGAAAGTTATAATCACTATAAATATAGAAGCTTCAAATTGGCTGAATCAGTAATATCTCTGTGATGTTCCAACACATACAATGAGTTAAAAAAAAAAAAAAAAATCAAAATGTTTCCCTCAAGTCTTGCGCACATTTTGATACCATTTTCGTCAAAATCGGATATACCTGTAAGGTGTTACATAACAATTAGTATGCGCATGTCATCAGAAAAGTGCTATAATTGCATATATTCATGTACAAGCAGAAATGTGAAGATATGAATTAGTGCTGTAGTCAAACGTTTAACCGTCCGGTATCCGACCGCCCATGGCGGATTCCGTTTTCAATTGGACGGTTTCGTTTTCCCGTTTTTTTTTTTTTTTTTTTTTTTTTTTTTTTTTAATAATTTTTTTATTTTATTTTATTTATTTTTTTAAAATTTTTTTTTTTAAAGTTTCGATTTATGCCCCTCCACCTGGCACTATGCCTGGCAATGTCTCCCAGCTCAGTAATCGGTGTGATGACTTACCACTTGGAAACTAGAAAAACACTCCAATTTGTCTGTCATCTTGGTTTGAAAGTAATCTTTGTAATAGATCTCAATATATATTCATCCAAGTTTAACACATGGTGTAACACAAGGTTCTATCCTAGGTCCTCTACTGTTTTTAATTTACTTTAATGATCTTACACATTATTCTAAAACGACATTGTTACTATTATTTGTGACTAGTTCACAAGCACAAATCGGCGCCTTCAGTTAAATCACCTTCCAGCTTTTTCACACGGCTAAAAAAAAAAAAAAAAAAAAAAAAAAAAAATTTTTTTATTTTTTAATTTTTTTTTTTTTTTTAAATAAATCGTTTAACCGAAAACCGTCCGGTTTTGACAGGCGGTTAAACGGAATTGGAGATATCCGTGATGTTACAGCACTAATATGAATTGATATCAAATTGCTTTAATATGTTTCTCGGAGTAACTTGATGTATTCCAGAACAAAAGAATACATTAGAATTAAAACAATAGATATAATAAGAAATAAAAAACAATAAAATACATAAGAAATAAATAGTTGAAAATCGCATCAAATTTGCATAAATTATCATTATTAATTACATCAAATAACTATTTGTGCTAGAAAAGAAGTTTCATATGAATAATGAGTTTCAACATTCAAAAAGTGGAGTCTGACAATTTTTGTAATGATTCTAGTTCCCTAAATATAGTTCCAGATTTGATATTCATGAATTCATTCATAATTTATGCAAATTAACCTATGCATTTTCAAATATCATAAAAATAATGAAACCTCATGAATTTGAGATGAAGGGAACATCTATTCAATACATTTTTCAAGATTCTTCACAAGTCTACGGACAAATATGTAGAGTTTTCTGTAAAATGCATAAAATTAGCATTTTGCATAATTAATTAGGCTATAACGACAAAAATTTGCATAATAGGAAAAAAATAATTATACCATCTTGTTTGGACATTCGACGGCCGAGATCATAGTCAGAGGGTGCTCAAAATAGCCCAGTACAGTAAGGGATAATAGTCCTAACAACGCAGAGTCAACCTGTTTGAAACGTTGAGCCCCTCGTACTACCCTTCCTCTCCAACCGGCGCTATAGTTCTCTTTAGAACTATAAGCTCAAAGAAAGATTACAGACATTCAGGACTCCCCAATCCTCCCCTCTATCTCACATGGTGTAACCGTAAGCCTACTGTATATCTACATGCAAGCCGATACTTATAAGCAGCATTTCTTATTGTTGGTCCGATATATTTCTAACTTTCACCATTCATTTTCTCTATTTTTTTTCTGCTTCCATACAAATGAACTTATTAAAAGGGTTGGATTGCCCTTTAACCTTTAGGACACTCTAAACTGCTTTGGGTGAAGTGAAATATTCATAAAATTGCTGTCCTGAATATTAAGTAATAGAAGGACTGATTGATTGTACGTACCTTAATTCTCTTAGATGGCATGCCAGTGAGATAGGCATCACTGAGGGGTGCCTGAGGGGTCTGGCGTCTTTGACGAGTGATGTCCTGCGTGATTACGGGTATCCACTCCTGCAAGGGAGATAAGACAGAAACAATGATGTATAGGTTCATCAATCTAATCTGCCAATACAGTGAACCTGTACATAAAGGCCGCTCAAGGGAGACAAGCAAAGCGGTCTTTATGAACAAGGGATCTTTGTATACAAGTTCCTGTAATACATGTTTCAATGGGAAACAATTTTCAACGGTACTTGGAATACTTTTCATGGTTGAATCCCTTATAGCATTGTGGTCTCTACAAAGTAGCTCATATTAGTGAAATGATGTTTTGTATTCAGGACCACGGAAAGAAGATATCATAGGGAACTTTGTTATACATGTCGGTACTAAAAGAATATAGTATTGTAAATAGCAAAATGACCTTCTTCTAATGAGACTTAGTCATAATAGGGCTCTTTTTAATGGTGCTCCGACATTTGCTTTGGTGACAATTGCTACGGGCTTAGTTCCATCATAAGAATAGGGTTAAGGTTTGATTTTGGGTAGAGTTTGGTATATTCCTGGGACAGGTTGAAGTTAGGAATTTGGTTAGCTTAGGAAATTACCAGTCAGAAACTGCTGTAGGAGCAAGTGTCATACAACCCTTCATAGAAACGTTCCAATGTATTATGTCTCTTTTCACATTTTTCTCTTTTTTAAAATATCTAATTCTGCTTATTTTGGATAGAGAAGCAAACACTCAAACAAACAAACAAACAAAGAAATCAACACCGAACAAATAGGACTTAAAAAAAAGGACTGAGCACATAAACAACAGCTCCTTGTTTGTCCCCCTCATAAGACAACGAGAGACACAGGCAGTCAGAGAGAACGAGAGGGGGAGAGGGAGAGGGGGAGAGACAGAGAGACAGAGAGAGCTCGAGACAGACATACAGATAGACAAACACACATACAAAATTCTCCATGGCCAAGCCCCTAAATATCTTTCAGGTTTGATTTCTTTACGTTCTTCTAGTTCTTTAAGACCTCTTCGATCATCATCAACCCTGCAGTTAACCCTCGGACCTTGTACCGTTACAAAATATGGCGATCGAGCTTTCTCAGTAAATTCCCCCATCCTTTGGAATAAATTACCAGCGCACTTTCATAATATTCATTCTCTTGACCAATTCAAGTCCTTGCTGAAAACTCACCTTTTTAATTCATAAACAATATTCTGCAGTTGTGAGTCAGTCAAAGGAGGTGCACACCGTCTTATTTTTTTGTTTGTTCGATCTTATGTTTGATCCTATGTTTGACCTCTTGTATGTATGTTTGATCTCACTCTTATCTTATTTTTTATTATTATATATGCATGATTTATTGAATAAAGATGTATAAGTTGTTTGTTTATTATAAGTTTTGGTAAATAATTGTTTAGTCAGAATATGGTGCGCTTAGAGACACCATTATTAAGCGCCTTATAAATATTGTGTATTATCATTATTATACAAACATAGAATGGGATCAAGACGTTGACTTACCGGATCAACATGAGCTTGCCAATTATCAGCATCCATAGCCAGGGCTTCAGCTGGACTGCTTCTCCTCATTGGTCTGGCTGTGGGCCCACCTATAGGGATTGCTGCTGGTCTAGCTGGCTGCTGTGTGGGTGCTGTGCTCCTTGCTCCAGGGGAGGGGTCTTGCACAGCTCTGGCTGGCTCCTGCACTTCAATGGCATCCTCAAATTCCATCGTCTAAAAAAAGAAATAAAGACAAAACATGTCAGACTACATCCCACAGTGACAATTTCTTGTTTAGTGCTTCATGTGATCAAACATGTTCCCACTAAGAAACTATTCCTTCACTCGTTTTTAAATGTTTGATATTCCGCTTTTATATAGCGCTTACTACATCGATGATGTCTCCAAGCGCTTTACAGATATATTATTACCCGGTCATCGGATTCAGGCAAACCCGCACACAATGTATGCACATTTCTCACTGGAGAGCATTCCAGCCAGGCGTCTTTTAAGCGAACACTTGCCCATCTAACCACTTTAACTTTTGCATCCTACCGGGTACCCATTTAACACCCGGGTGGAGAGTGGCAAATGTAGATTAACGTCTTGCCAAAGGACATTAGTGCTGCGGCAGGACTGGAACCGCGTACCTTGTGATCTGCAGTTGGGTGACTTATCCACTAGACCACAACACTTCTTGATGTCAGAGTAAGATAATCTTTACTACTTTCCCCATTTGCAGCGAGCCAATTGACTGCATTCTTGAAATCAGCTGATTTTATGGACAGCCAAGTTGCAACCTCCATCTATACCCCACTTCAGTGTTTCCCTTTGCTAGCTCTAAATTATTTCAAGTCTACTCTCAATGAAAGTAATCAATTAAGATCTGTTTTGGGGCTGTGCAGTCAGTGGTCACTTTGAGTGATCTTTTTCAAACAAATAGAAATTAGCAATATGTCATTTTGGAAAAACACTTATCTGTATCCTCTGTCCTGTTTATTTCAAAAAATGAAAAGTAACTTTATAAATACCAATGACTATAGTCTTTCAGGGTTTCATTTTAAAAAACTTGTCATCAGTGACAAATAACAGTTTTTGTTATAAGCTAATGAGATTTGTCACCGATTTTTGTCATTTGTCATTGCAAAAAGGCTTTGTGAACAGGTCACTGGTATAACTACAATGTAATAAGTACATAAGAAATTCTTATCCATTCATTTATTCTTTGAAATTTGACTGAGTACCTATGTCCTTTGGTACTCTCCAGCCTGGTGTGGTAAATGGGTACCTGGTAGGAATTATACCTAGACTGCTTTTAGCTCCTTAGAGCAGCCTGGTGTGGTAAATGGGTACCTGGTAGGAATTATTCCTAGACGGCTTTTAGCTCCTTAGGGCAGCCTGGTGTGGTAAATGGGTACCTGGTAGGAATTATTCCTAGACTGCTTTTAGCTCCTTAGGGCAGCCTGGTGTGGTAAATGGGTACCTGGTAGGAATTATTCCTAGAATTCTTTTAGCTCCTTAGGGCGGCTGGGATATAACCAGGGTAATAATATTACATTGTAGGTGCCTTGAGCATCCCCTAAGATGGGTGTGCAAAAGAAATGTAGCTGTTCTTATTATCATTAATGACAGGGAGGCATATGCTGTCAACAATTTTGCACTTAAAGCCTGTCTGCACTAGTTTGGCCAGGAGGGATTAGACCTCCCAGCGTGGTCACTGACAGGTGGTTATCAAATCAGCTCTAAAGCAACATAAGAAAAAGAGGATCATGGGGGACCAACAGGGTACCGCTTAGGCATTGTTTGCTCTATAGAGGGTGCAAGTAGCTACAAGTAGTGCAGTCCCGCTTTAAAATAATATTCCTGATAAACTACAAACCTCATCACTGCTCTCTGATTCCCTGTCCTCCTCTCCACCTCTGCCTCGTGCCATGCTGCAGCTATCCACTGGCATAGCAACGGATGATGGGGTAGATTGCACTGGGTTTGAGGTTGTTGTTTCTACTCTGGCCGCGCTCTCCTGGGCGGCTCGAGGTACTATACAAATTTAAAAAGCAATGATGAAAATTGTTACCTTTACAACTCATTTTATGTATGTTATTTCCACAGAAAAAAGATGTCAGTCAGGCACTCAATAGTGTCTGGCAGTGAAGTCTAAATAGTAAACAGGTTTCCTTGCATAATTTGAAAAATAGGACACTGCTAACCTTTAAATTTCACAGACAGGGCATACGTGACATATTCATAATTCCAGCAAAGTTCTACAGAATTTGATGGGACAATAGTACCTTCAACGTTGATTAGGCAATACAGCAACTGAATTCTATAACAGGTATATAACAAAATAACCCTTCAGGTAGGAGTTACAATATGATTTTGATGTTACACAAGTTTTCTGTGGAGTCAAGCCAAGGTTATCCTAGACTTTTTATCTGGTTCCAACGGGTTTCAAGTGAAATAGAAGGTGTAGTCAGGCATCGTACCTGCAGGAGTGTCCTCTTGATACACCATGTAGGGCATGACATCTTGCTCTGTGATCGTCCTGGCATTCATGAAGGCCTGCACATTGGCTAGGATGATCGGCATACCAAAGGCACTCAGCTCAGGGCTACCTTGGGATAGATAGGCAGTCTGTCATGGAGACATTAAACAAAAATAGATCACATTTTTTAAAAGAAGTAAAGCGGCTAGCTAAATTGGCAGAGCAGTGGTCTCGTAATCCGATGCTAGTGCCCTTTGGTAATAATAATACTCAGCTTTTATAAAGCGCGAATTACAATTAAGTCTCTAAGCGCTTCCAAACTTATTACCCTGGCTGTAGCTGTGCTGCCATTACGATGCTCTAGACTTTCAAGGAAATTGATAAGGCATTAATCCTCATTACCAGGTCCTTCGAAGAGGACCTTAAGCCGTTGGTCCTCTGGTCGCTTACTAACAAGCATTTATGCTTTCTTAGCAGTCAGGTAAATAACTACCACTAAACTAAAAATAATTTATGTAGACTATAGGATGACCACTGAAATTGTGAATTTCCATGGACAGGGCAAATGTAATTTCTTTGTCATGATAATATGTAAAATGCTATTTAAAAGCAAATTTGACATGTTGCCAACCTTTAACCTTGCTCACAACCTCATAATTGAAAAAAAATAATTAAATTCTACCATCGATTTCCCTGAGAAGCCTAACATTCGAGATTTCACTACATGCACCATAGAGTACGATAACATTTGGGCGAAATATTATTCATGTATTTATGATGCCATAATCAATTATGGCATTATTACCAAGTCTCTCATAGAGGAATTAAAAGCTGTTAGTCCTCTGGTTGCTCACTTGCAATCATATATATATATATATACATATATATATATATATATATATACATAAATATATATATATATATATATATATATATATACACACACACATATATATATATATATATATATATATATGCTTTCTTAGCATTCAAGTAAAACAACCAAATTAACTAGACAAATGATAAGACAGATAGCTGAACAGAGAGGTAACATATAGTCATAAAAATGAAGAACAGAAGTATAGAAAGATTAGTATGACAAAGAAAAACAAAGTACTTTATTTGACTCACCATTCTCAGCTGGAAATAGCTGACTGCATCATGTTCACTCCCTAGTACATAGATAAAGGCAGCTGCTATTTGCTGGAGAAAATTATTCATAATGAGTCTGATTTCATTGGGATAGTCCTGTAAACCTGTACAGAATAAACAAAAACAAAAGAAAAGAAATTTGCCATTAGTACATTGGAAACAACAAGTAATGTCTCTGTTAGAGTGATTGAGGGGGTAGGCTTATACACTGATTCAAATAGCTGAACATGGAAGTGTTGGCCACCATTACTAATGTCCTTTGGCAAGACATTGATCTACATTTGCCACTCTCCACCCAGGTGTTAAATGGGTACCCGGTAGGATGTGAAAGCTAATGTGCTTAGATTAGCAAGTGTGCGCTTGTAAAAATGATGCCTGGCTGGAATGGAGAACGTGCATACATTGTGTGCGAGTAAGCCTGAATCCGATGACCGGGGTAATAATATAATATCTGTAAAGCGCTTTGAGAGGGCCTTAAAAAGTTTTTGTTTATCTCTCTGAAATGCTCCACTACTCTCAGTATTCCTTCCCATCACTCTACTCTCAACCAGTCATTCTAATTTTGTTGATGTTCTGTCGATCTCAACACAACATCCATTAAAAGTAATAAACACATCAACATTTTCACTACCTTCATTCATTCATATATTCATTCATTCATACATTCATTCATATATTCATTCATTCATTCATTCATTCATTCATTCATACATACATTCATTCATTCATATATTCATTCATTCATTCATTCATTCAAGCATTCATTCATATATTGATTCATTCATTCATTCAATGCATTCATTCATATATTCATTCATTCATTCATTCATTCATGCATTCATTCAGATATTCATTCATTCATTCATTCATATATTCACTTCTATATTCATTCATTCATTTATATATTCATTCATTCATATATTCATTCATTCTTATATTCATTCACAATACATGATGTAATGCTTGGTTTCAACTTGAAATGCTCAGCAATTCTTAACATCATAACAATGTTTTATTGCTAGCATCCCCTAACATTAGCCATAGACAAAATGATATAGTAAGTGTATCAGGCTTACTTTCATTAAGTGTTGACGAGATGAAACGAGTAGCAGCTTCACTACTTATCCTCTGTATCGTTGCAATGATATCTACATTGTGTTGGTTTGGTGTATCTCTCTATGAAAATAAAGGAAAATTGAAATAAGCTCTCGCAACATATGATCTTTAATCACGACATGGCCCGAGCATTATCAATCTTTAGGTGAGGCATGTATAGAGATACAGTCAAACCTGCCCTAGTGAGTGGCCATCTCTCTATAAAGACACCTGTCTATAGTGGCCACCTTTTGAGTTACTCTTGGGTGGCCTTAATAGACAGGTGTGACTGTACAATATAAATCAATCATTGTTATTATCTCCTGGGTTTGCCTACATCCCATGAAAGTGGCAAATGCAAACAGAAAGAGTTGCAATTGCATATTTTTGTCAAATTTTTCAAATGAATTTGAGGTTGAAATGAGATGTCACAAATAACAGTCTAGACTATTTACTTGTCTTTGTGGCCACCTCTGTATAAAGGCCACTTGTCTATAGTGGTCAACTAAATATTGTCTTCCTCCAGGAAGAAATATGTTTAAGAAGTAGAAAGTTAATCATGTCTAAAGTGGCCATCACCCCCCCCCCCCCCCTCTCCCCAGGGTTGCCTGATTAATTGTAATCAAACATGTACAAAATGATTGTATCTGTTTTGGAGATAAACATACTTATGTTTCAGTTTACTGAGGTCAAACTTCTATAAAATGAAAATAAAGTTGGGTAATTAAACAAATTTTTGGTCTCAAAAAGAAAAAAAAGGAGATAGTATAATTTTATTGTAGACAATCCAAACGTATGCATTCAATCACAACAATTGCACATACGTGTACACTGTTTCAAATTTCACTTAGTGAAGAGCTTAGTATTTAACTAAGTAATAAACTCACCGTAAATTCTTCTATGAATGGTTCCATTTCGGAATTCATCCTAGTAACTCCAATCTGTTGAAATAAATCATTTGAAACAAGGAATTATTTCAACAAAGGTACAAGAACTTCACTTCCAGTTTCTTGGGGAGTAAATTATTTCACTAAAGGCGTAAATGATGACGGACCCTTTATGGATCATTATGGTTCTCTTTTCAAGTCCCGCTGCGGCACTAATATTCTTTGGCAAGACATTAATCTACATTTGAGCACCCTGTGGGATGGACATGTGCATTATACAGCTATATGTGGCTATTATTAATACTATTATTATTAAAAGGGTACATATATCTTCTCTCAGCTGTACATCTGAGAAAGAATGTTATCTGGTTTTGGCTCTGGTTCTGACAAATTTGTGGAGCTGACCCTAAACAATATCAGAATATATCCCACCAGATTCATTCCAATTTCCTCTTCCCTATCATAAATGTGCATACATTGTGTGCGGGTAAGCCTGGATCCGATGACCAGGGTAATAATACATATACATATCTGTAAAGCGCTTTGAGAGGGCCTGCGGTCCTAAATAAGAACAAGCTATTATTATTGTCTCCAGGCTATTGCCCAGCTCACCTGAATATTATCCGGCGTAGCCTCCTGCCCGTCTAAGGCTCTTGTTCTGACAAACTCTTGGAGACGACCCCTGAGACGACCTACGGGAGCCATGTTACCCGTCACCAAGGCCATCATGTCCGCCATGGTCAGGTTCTGCTGTAGGACTTCCAGAAGCTCCAAGACAGTCCCTGAATGAAGGAACAAGAAGGTCATACTTAAAGGCATCGCAGGCCCTAAATTTCAATATTTTTAGGGCAAGGCCACTTTTCTGTAGGGCACAATCCTATATTACAGAACAAATAGGAAGAATTGGAAAGGGCACACAAAATCTCCAAGGCCAATGAGAGGGGCATTGAGGCCAATCAAAGGGGCATCCACGGCCATGGCCTTGGTGGCCTTGGATTAATTTAAGCCCTGCATCGTTTAACAATGTTAAATCTGAGATGTACTGCCTTACGTGTCATCAGTGTCTGTGATATGGTGTAATATTGAAGCCCTAAAGAAATTGCGCTTCAAAATGATCAAGAAGTGCCTCAAGAAAGTAAAAAATCTTTGAGTGACCGGTTGTACCATACTTGTTTTTCCCAATAGACTGTAGTTTTATGAAAACCGTTTGATTTTGATTTCCAATCATAAATATCTTGATAATCAGACAGGCAATCGGCTTGTAAAAGTCATGGGGTTCCTGACTGACCTAAAGGTTTATAATTATGATTGCAGCTTGAGCTAAATCAAGGATTTTGTTTAGAATCTGAGACAAAGTTACCGGATCCCTTTAGGGATTGTTCACACATGACATGCAAACCATCGCAGATATCCAAGTGTAAATGAATGGATGACAGGGTTGAGGAGAAATATCTGTACATCAGAGGTTCTACAGGTACTCACTTACTTACTTACATGTATATGTTATGAGATAACAGAATAGTAAAGCAGGGTATGAAAATCTTGCCCCAGTTATTTCCTATGGAATAAATGTAAGAGGCTTTAAAAGCCAACAGAAAATTTAAGCTTGGATAAGCCCCCCCCCCCTTCCAACAACAACAACAACAAAAATTCAAAAGATTTCTCTCAATCTAGTTCAAGGGTTGGGTATCTTTGCCTCAGATTCATTCTAAACAAAATCCTGGATTTAGCTCATGCTGCAATCATAATTATAATCCTTAAGGTCAGTCAGGAATCCCATGACTTTTACAAGCCGATCGCCTGTCTGATTGGAATTCGAAATTTTCCCAACTGTTTTTATAACACTACAGTCTATTGGGGAAAATGATTATGGTAAAACCGGTCACTCAAAGATTTCTACTTTTTTGAAGCACTTCATGATCATTTTGAAGCGCAGTTTTTTTAAGGCTTCAATACTACACCATATCACAAACACAAACAGATTTGTAAAACTTGAAAAATCATTAAATGATGCCTTTAATAAGAAGTAAAGAGTAAAGGGCCCTAGGAAGTCTGCATGGAGGGGCCTACCTTCACCAAAGGAGTGGTCCATGTCTAGGTTGATGAGGAATTGCTCCACAGTGGGGCTATTACCCCCTTGAAGAGCCCTGGCCTGGATTGCCATCATCATGTTGGAGAGCTGCTGGAGAGAGACCTGGGGTGCTCCTCTTGCACCTGTGGGACTGCGCCCTGCAGGCCGGGGCTGGGAGCTGGTGGTAGGGGGCTGCTGCTGCCCCCCTCCTGTACTCTGCCTACCAGTGGTGGAGGTGGAGGTGGGGGGCACTGTTCGACCGGCTTGGTTGGGTCTCTCTAAATGGGCCTGGACAACAACTGATGTCATGAGAAAGAGGAAGAAAGGTTATTCATTTAGTTAGTTATAGTTATTTGAATTCCAGGAACATTTATAGATAATAACAGCATGCAAAAATAATGACAATAATCATACACCAAAACAAGAACAACAACCAATGCCTGGGGATTGGCCAAAATAGAAATCAATTTTTGTTTAAGAACTTTCCTCATTGGATGTTTAAAATAAAGTTATCCCTTAACCCCCCCCCCCCCCTCCTTTATTACTTATCTTGTATTCAAATCTCATTTTAGACTTTTACTTACCCAAGACAAAATCTAAGTAAAATACTTACTAATAAGCATTGTGACATCACACAGTCAATCAAAAGTAATGTGCAATTAATGCGTTGCAATAAATGCATGCTAATATAATTGTGCGCAGATTATGATACCGAGTGAGAAAACCATATGCCTGCCAATCACAGCCTCCTAATAATTGGCTTAAATCTGGTAGGGAGCTGTCTTAAATCTAGGGTAAAATACTTAGCCAAAAGTTTGAACTGAATACCAAAATTGGCTAAGTATTTTATCTAAGCCAAATAATAAGTAAAAAGCTCAAATTTTGTACCTAAGTATGGAATTGAATACGGGCCCAGGGCATTAATACTAACAGTTTGAATGTCGTGAAAGAATGTCTATTTCTATGCATTAGTTGTTTGGTACCACTAAAAGTATCAAAGGGAGTGGTTCTTACCTCTCTGTCCAGGGGGAGGGTTAGCCAGAGCACCTACTAGTCCTCCCATCATCTGCTGGAGTGCGTGGACCTATAAATACCAGAAGGATATAAAACATAAATCATAAACATTTGCCAAGATAACCAACAAATACTAACAAAATGTTTAACTTACAACTTTTTTGTCTTGTTTCTCTTGCCATAAATAACATCTAAAAAAACTTTTCACCATTTCTGTTTAACTCCTTCATAGTACCTTAATATCATCTGGTACATTTATAAATGGCATTTCAACAAAATAATTGTGAATAATATTTCAAAATTGCAATCAAGAAAAGTATCAAATCGGCAACGTGAACTCATGTCATGTTCAACTCAACTTGTTATATGAAATAGAGACATTGCTCATGTACATTTAAGTTCTAAAGAGAGCAACCCCTTGTTTAGTCAATTTTGTACAGAATAATTCTTCATGACAATCTTAACGTGTATATATATATATATATAGATCCGTTTTTCCAATTTGACTTGCATGATTTGCTCCTACTCCTTGACCTTCCGCTGGCTGAGCCGTAGTTTGACCCGCTGGATGGGGTGCAGCATTGCCCCCTTGCTCCCCAGCCCTGCCCTGCTGCCCTGGCTGCCTGCGCTGCTGGGTGTTTCCAGCGGTCATGAGGGGCGTACCACGGTGCCTGGAGTTACAGGGGAGGTGTGGATCCCACTGGAGTAGTGCCCAGGGGTTGAAGGTGTTGAAGGGTTGGTTGGGGTTGGGGCTGCTGGCCGGGTTGGTTTGGGAGGTGTGCACCCCACCGGTGGAACGCTCGCTGGTCGGGGCTGAAGCATCAGACTGCGTGGGTGTGGTGCGGGTGGTTGAACTACCCGACATGGCTTTAAAACATTCAAGGGATAAGAGGGATTGTATGGTTAGCAAAAAGACATAAGAAAACAACAAGTTTTAGGTACATACAAATTCAATGCAAAATCTGCACTCCATAAATTTATGGAGGCATTGGTGCCCGACTGTTTTTCAGCCATCGGGCCCACGGTTTAAAGGAAAACAGTGATGATTCGGGTCTAATCTTTGCTATGGTCAAAGACTTCAAACCAAACTATCTTTGCCATGCTCACAGATCAGGGGTTCTTAATATGTCGTGTGTTGGAGCATATTTAAAATTGAAGGGCACTTCATAGGCAAGACTTTGCTGAAGTCATATGCTATAGATATATATCTTTTCGGAGCCCAATACTGCCTTGTAATCTACCTGATTGAGCTTGAGTCCTCTGTGCCTGCTGGCCATTCTGCTGTTGACTGGCTTGCTGTTGGCCAGGTTGCTGTTGTTGGCCGGGCTGTTGTTGATGGGAACTGGTAATGGCAGCCTGTATCTGCTGGCTGATCATCTGGGCCACTCCCTGCATCATGTTGTGAGGAAAAGCGCCTCCACCTGACAAATTCAATCAAATACATGACAGAGTAAAGCAAACATATAGCAACAACTAGACGGATCTTCGACTGCGTGCAGTCCAAAATGATGCCTCCGCCATAGAGCAATTTTATAAAACCAAAACAGAAGCAATTTTTCAAATTCAAGTTTAATTGTAATCCATTTACAGGTTCTCAGAATAATGCAATTAAAAGCTATTTTTCATATTCATGTAATGTATGTATGACCCTTTGATCTTTGACCTTATGACCCTAAAATCTAATCAGTTCATTGGCTCTGCAAGATACATAATCGTATGTCCCGAGTTTGAAAGGAATCCATCCGTCAGTTCTAATATGAATGCGTTCACAGGCTATTTTTGCATACATAACGAGCCCCATGACCTTTGACCTCATGACCCCAAAGTCTAATCAGTTCATTGATGGTCATCTGTCCGTTAGTTCTAATAATGTGATCATGACCTATTTTTGCATACATAATGAGCCCTGTGACCTTTGACCTCGTGACCCCAAAATCTAATCAGTTCATAAGCTCTGCAAGATACATACAGGACCTAAGTTTGTCAGGAATCCATTAATCGGTTCTTGACATAACGTGATCAGAAGCTAATTTTGCATACGTAATGAGCCCTGTGACCTTTGACCTTGTGAACCCCAACATCTAATCAGCTCATTAGCCCTGCAAGATACATACATGACCCAAGTTTGGTAGGAATCCATCAATCGGTTCTTGAGATAACATGATCACGAGAACGGGATGTACAACCCATAAAAATCAAATCAAAACAAAAAGGTGAGATGGGGTCAATACAAATTATTTTAAAATGACAAGCTCTGACTAGTTGCAACAGATAATGGAATGTTAGCCTCTGTTACAGCTGATTTACCAGGCTGTAATAACAGGCAAACAAACATTCTACTCTAATTACAAAAAAAGACAAAAAGCTTCAGTGTTTCTTTGGTCAAATAACTGACGTTTGGTACTTTCTATTTCATTTTCATCCACCAAACTTTAAAAGCAAATCTCTAAAAAGCTAATCTCCCAGATCTAACAGCTCACATTTACTTGATTACTAAAGGGATACAAATTAAGGATGTCAAATATGAGAGTGGAAAAAATCTCCTTACCTGATGATGTTCTCTGGATGGTGATACCGGGTAAAGGCATCCCTGGAGCAAGGCCCGGTATCAGACCAGGGGGAAACATCCCAGCTGGGAGCTGGGTGAAACCAAGTACTGGTTGACCTGGTCCAGTAGGGAGGGGCGTGGTGGAGGAGGAGGAGGAGGTGGTGGTGGAGGTGGGCGTTGCCCCAGATGTTGATGATGAGGACGTGGAGGATGTTGGGCCTGCTGGTGCCGAGGAGGAGGGGGAGGTTGTGGTTTCCTCCTGGTTGTTATTGCTACCTCCAACTGAGCCTGAGAGCAACAATCACCAACATTCAAATTTGCAACATGGTCACAGTATATGTTGGACAAACATTAAGATCAAGTATCTTTTTCTAAAACTTTGTTTAGAAAATATTAAAGCTTATCTGTACTAGTTTATAGGAGGGATTAGACCACCATGCAAGGTCACTGGACAGGTGGTTATCTCATCAACTCAGCTCTCAATTAACATAAGAAAAAGAGGATCATGGGGGACCAATGGTCACCGATTAGACAATGTTTTCTATATAGGGGGAGCAAGTAGCTACAAGTAGGACAGTGTGGCTTTAAGAAGTATATGGGAATGTTTATAGACTACTACATGTATATATGCATCATAGTTTAGAAGATGTATGGACTGCAAAGTATTGTGTAGATGTAGTCAAATAAAGGTCAAACTTTAAAGTGTATCAATCACCTGAAAAGATGAATTATCTACAGGTAGAATGTATAAAATCAATCTAAAGAAAAATTGACTTTGCATTCTATAGGTAACTGGTAAAGGCATATGAAGACTAGATGGAACTTCGACTGCGCGCAGTCGAAAATGATGCCTCCGTCATAGAGCAATTTTACAAACCAAAACAGAAGAAATTTTTCGAATTCAAGTTCAATTGTAATCCATTAACAGGTTCTCAGAATATTGTGATTACAAGCTATTTTTGCATACATAATGAGCCCATGACCTTTGACCTTATGAACCAAGAATCTACTCAGTTCATTGGCTCTGCAAGAAACATACATGACCTAAGTTGGCAGGAATCCATCAATCGGTTCTTGAGATAACGCGATCACGAGCTGTTTTTGCATACATAATGTGCCCTGTGGCCTTTGACCTTTGACCTTGTGACCCCTACATCTAATCAGTTCATCGGCTCTGCAAGTAACATACATGACCTAAGTTTGGCAGCAATCCATCAATCGGTTCTTCAGATAACGCGATCACAAGCTCATTTTGCATACATAATGAGCCCTGTGGCCTTTGATCTTTGACCTTGTGACCTCAAAATCTAATCAGTTTTTCGGCTTTGCAAGTAACATACATGACCTAAGTTTGGCAGCAATCCATCAATCGGTTCTTCAGATAACGCGATCACGAGCTCGTTTTGCATACATAATGAGCCCTGTGACCTTTGACCTTTGACCTCGTGACCCCAAAATCTAATCAGTTCATCGGCTCTACAAGATACATACATGACCAAAGTTTGGCAGGAATCCATCAACCAGTTCTTCAGATAACGCGATCACGAGCTCGTTTTGCATACATAATGAGCCCTGTGACCTTCGACCTTTGACCTCGTGACCCCAAAATCTAATCAGTTCATCAGCTCTACAAGATACATACATGACCAAAGTTTGGCAGGAATCCATCAACCAGTTCTTCAGATAACGCGATCACGAGCTTGTTTTGCATACATAATGAGCCCTGTGACCTTTGACCTTTGACCTCGTAACCCCAAAATCTAATCAGTTCATCGGCTCTACAAGATACGTACATGACCAAAGTTTGGCAGGAATCCATCAACCAGTTCTTCAGATAACGCGATCACGAGAACGGGACGTACGTACGTACAGACGTACGTACGTACGTACGTACGGACGTACGGACGGACGGACAACCCGAAAACATAATGCCTCCGGCTACTTCGTAACGGAGGCATAAAAATAAATGATAATATAAACAGACCGTATAGGGGCGAGTGTGTACTCATGCATTAAGTAATCTTCGCAACAAGGCGTATTACAGTTCACTGGGGGTGTATTTTAAAGTGCAATATCTCTTTGTAGAAGAAATATTTAATATGTAATATTCTTGAGTGATTTCTCTTGGGTGATCTTACCTGACGTGACAGTGACAAAGGCCTGCGCACCAGCTTGTGGCTGGGCCCCGCCCGATGTCGAGACAGAGCTTGGGGCTGTAGCTGGGGCCGACGCTGGGGCCGAAGCTGGGGTTGGAGCTGGGGCCGAAGCTGGGGCTGCTCTACTCAGGTTTCGAACTGTAACTTGGACTGGTTGTGCACTGGCTCCACCCATCTATTTTTTAAAAAGAAATTTTACACAATCTCTCAGTCAGGAATACAAATAGCTCTCTATATGGAAAACAACAATTTTTCTCTTTATGGCAATAGAATGTAAAAGATGAAAAGGGCTTTTTAGAACTTTCCATAAAAACAATCAAAAGTTCATAATCATTTATAATGCATATGGAAAATACTAAACAACTCTTTATCACCATTGAATGTACAGAATGAAAATGGCTTTCTAGAACATTCCATGTAAATAATCAGGAGTTCATAATCCAAGCTGGTGTAAACTAGCCTTTAAAAATAAAGCAATTTCTGTTTGTTGTCAAATAATCCAACAAAGAAAAGAATAATCCAACAAAGAAAAGAATAATTCCACATTATTCCTTGAGGTGAATCAAGAACCATACATTGATGTACTTAGTATCATGATCATTTTAAACAGCTCAAAGTAGCTCCATTTTAAACAAACATTTTGAATTCCACACATCCATACAATGAAATGCAGAGCAATGCTATATTTTGCTAATCTGTGTCACTCAAGAATAAGTAGTGTATTTAAATGCCCATCATTACATAACATGGCGCAGTTCACTGAATATTTTCCCCTCATATATCCCATCCCATCCTACACTAAGAAAGACAGTCTTGACTGAACTTATGCGCATGGACATAGGTGGGACTGCAGCCGTTCACTGAATATTTCCTGTTACTGACAGGAAGTTTTCTCCTGTGTTTGATAAAATCATGTAACGATAAGTCGGGAAATGCTGACGTCATAGACGAGGCTTTTTGGGGAATTGACATGTATTTGACCATGAGGGCGTTTCTTCGCATGCCACTGATTTTCCTTGTTTGGAACGGTCGGACGACCGTGAGGTTGTGATGATAAATTAATTCTTTTTGATGAGCCCAACGTTGTAAGTAGACAATTACATTGCTATTCTTAAAGAGTTGTTGAATGATAATCAGTGATAATTTCTATTAATTATGTTGATGGTTAGTGATGTAAATTTGTTGCGAAAGATTTGTATTGAAGTACGTAATGTAGCAGTGGTATACATAATACGTGCAAGTAATGCATGCATGCACTGTACACGTTTAGTGACCGGAAGTAGTCACGCCTCTTTTGTTAGTTGACAGATTATGAAGTGAGCCATGATAAATAAGGCTGTATGATAGCTGAAGCATATTATTTCTTACAAGGTTGATATAAATGTTCAAGCTGGTTATTAGTGATGAATAATAAATAAATGTCTCATTTAGGGAGATAAAAGTTAGGCTTTGAATACATTGTTTATAAGTATTTTGCTAAGCTAAACTTGGGCCTTGTGTTGTGAAATTAGGGTTTTGAGAGCATTGCTTTGACCGGTTATTGTTTACATATTTGAAAGTCAGTGCTAGGATAGAAGCAAGCAAGCCTTTTGTATCAAATAATTGTATTTAAGATCAGATATTGTTTCAGGAGAGGTTTTTGGATATGACACATAAATAATTGACACAAACAAGTTAATTCATATTCAGTTATGCATTTATTGATTGAGACCAGACAAGATGGATAATTATTGTAACAAATAATGTCATTGATAAGCATGTGTACATGTATTCCAGTATTGATTGGATGTTTCCTTTATTTGTTTTGTTCAATTACAGATTGAACCGTGCTGATACGTGCTGAAGTATCTTGTCAGCGTGGTCTCATACTGGGTTTAGAACTTTGTGTCCTGCTTGATTATTTATCGTCACAGTGTCCCCAACATTTCCCCTCATTTCCCCATCCCATCCTACACTAAAAAAGAAAGAGAGTCTTGTCAGACTGAACTTACACGCATAGGCATAGGTGGGACTGTAGCTGGTGGTGCTGGAGCCCGTACATGTCTAGGTGTGGGTTGATTCATGTCCACAATGAATTCAGAGAAAGCATGATTCATGTGACCTAGGGTGTGAAAGATCTGCTGACACAGATTGATAGACGTCTGCGCCTGCACACGTTCCTCGGTCTGAAAGAAAGAAATAATATTGATATTATATTGACTGGACTTGAGGGGTACATCAGATATATTTACCAAGCTAAGATCATCTTGCCCCGAATTAAAGACTCGATATAAAACTTTGTTATCAAGCATTACTTTTACTCACCATATATGCACGTATTTCCCTTAATCTTGTCCAGAGATGAAAATGTATGAAAATGTCATTGTGACGTAAATTGTTACCGGGCACATACACTTTAACCCCTACACAATACTGCGCATATGCACTATAATAAAAGCGCACAGACAAGAAAGAGTGGAATATGTCAGAATGTTGCCCTCTAATTCAGTACAGGGGTCTACAGGGAAAACCTGAAAGAAGGCAGTCCGGTTTTGTATTTGGAGAAGCGTGCAGAATATTTTGCAGCTAAAATGCCTCGTAAAGGTAATAATAAAATATATCACACTCTGAGAGGCTCCGGTTGAAATTGAGGATTCTTTAGAGATAACTCGCATAGCACTATAGTCACAGAAGATCCATCATTTTACTGGTAACTCGAAAAGAGTGCATGATATATTTCGATCTGTATCCCTTAATGTTAGGTTAGGTTTAAATTTTGTCGTATTTTCATAACACAGATTTGTGAAAGATCAATTAAGATGATCAAACATTCTACTAGAAGAGTAAACCCTTTGCTTCATTAATTTCTCGATATCAGAGTTAAAGAGAGCTACAATGAAAGACAAAATGTTGCACTAGAAGGATATTAACCCTACCTAAAATGAGATAGCACCCTTCCATCTAAACAAAAGTACATTGCAGAGTTGCCAGCTTTATTCCAAAATAAGAACACACCTTATAAACATGTTGTATTCTAGCAGTCAGCCACTGTACTTACTGTGGTGAATGTTGGGTCTGTTCTCATCAGCTCTTGATACCGCTCAAGATGGGGAGTGAATCGTCGCCATAACCGCTGTAATTCATTAAATCCTCCCACCAATGTACTAATACGAGGATATCTACAAAAGAAGACAATTAGAACAATTGAGAAAGCAACAGTGGCAGATCTAGGGGGGGGGGGTGTTGATTCGACGCTAAACATAAAAAATAGTGTTCTTTACCCCCCCCCCCCCTTATTTGCGGGCTGGCTGACTCGCCGCTAAACATTTTCTCACAAATGGGCCCCCTATTTGACCCTCTTCCTAACTGCCGGCTGGATCTGCCCCTGAATAGCAAGATATCTGATAATATCTGTTAACGACGATCATATCAAACTGTCATTTTTATTAATACTTACTGATAAGCATTGTGACATAACACGGTCTATAAAGAAATAATGTGCAATTAACGCAGCACATTCAATGCACACTAATATAATTTGCACAGCATGTGATTACTGCATATGAAAATCATATACCTGCCAATGCAATCAATACTTCCAAAAAAGGGAGCTGTCTTAAATTAAGGATAAAGTACCAAGCAAAAAGCATCAACTGAATACTGAAGTTAGCTTAGTATTTTATCTAAGCCAAAAACCGAGGAGAGTACTCTCATTTCTGACATAAGTATTGAATTGAATTCCATTCCATGTGTTTCATCATGCACAATGTCTCAAAATATCTCTTTAATCACACAACATTATCTAACCTGGCGCCTGGGGTAGTTGAACTATGTGTCTGTGTGCCAGTTGACTGGGCATTACCACCACTGCTTGTTGAACTGTTTGTACCAGTAGTGGCTGACGTTGCTCGACTCCCGGAACCTGTGGTAGACGTTGCGGCTGAGGTTGCCGGTGCTGCCGAAGTGGTAGTACTGGTAGAGTCCACCTCCATTGGTGACCAACTGCTTGTTGTTGGTGTTGCTGGAGCCGTTGATGCTGGAGTTGTGGATGTTGTAGCGGGTGTTGCAGGTGTTGTTGAACCTTGACCTGTTGTCTGCTCCGATGCCCCGTGACTGGTGGAATCGCAAGCTGGTCGGTTGGCTTCACCCTCTGGTGTAGGGTTGAGGGTCTAGGGGAGAGGTACATGGAAGTGAAGAGTCTTGAGTTTGCTGTGATGTTTACAATGCACATGTATGAGAAACTTTACATGAGACAAATCCATGCACAGAATGCTTCAAAGTTGATTCAGTCTGTGCAAATTCTTTTAGTTTTTATACAAAATTGTTTTCAACACAAAGATTAGAACGCAATAAAGAACATCGCTGATTTTAATTGTAACAATTTAGAAAAACAACAGTTCGTACAGGTTGTAAATAAAGCTCTGAATTCTCTGGGATTTCTGTGGACATTTGAGCCTAGACTGGGTACTGAATTTGATCATCTTATATAACATATGTTTTCCACTGGTCTACTGGGTATCTAATGACTAGGAGTAATCGATGCTAGGTCTGAGTCATTACAGGTTTTGTAGAACCCGGGTTAAGACATCCTTTAACAATGTTAAATCTGAGATGCATGGCCCTACATGTTATCAGTGTCTGTGATATGGTGTAATATTGAAGCCCTAAAACAATTTCGCTTCTAAATGATCATGAAGTGCCTCAAAAAAGTTTTTAAAAAATTGAGTAACTGGTTTTACCATACTCATTTTCCTCAATACACTATAGTGTTATTAAAACCTTTAGGAAAACAAATTTTTGAGATTTCAATTTCCAATCATAAATATCTTGATCATCAGACAGTCGATCGGCTTGAAAAAGCCATGGGGTTCCTGACTGACCTAAAGCTTTATAAGATTCATTGCAGCATGGAATCTTATAAAGAATCTGAGACAAAGTTACCCAATCCCTTTACAAAGTTTGATATTTTGAACCCTTAACCCTTGTATTGAGTGTCAAAACAATGAACCACTACACCACGACGCCTCCACGGTGCAAACAAACAGTCATGACCTTTGATCAGATCAGGATATCAAACCATAAATCATATTTAGACAAATAAACAAATCAATTTGATGTGCTTACTTACCTCTAATCTATTGATGAGATTATCTGCATGGTGAATCATGGAGAGAATGTTGAACATCAGCATATGAGATTCACTGTGTAGTGCTGCAGCAGGTAGCACAGAGCCAAGGTTGATATGTACATCCACAGACGAACCATCACGCTATATGGGACAATGAATTGTAAATCTTAAAGTTGCTTAAGCATGGGTATATAGAGGGCAGTACACGGACGTACGCATGGGAGTGTAATACCCATTGGCTCAGTGTTATGTAGTGATTGCCAAGTTGCCTATTTCATGAGAGACTATATATACCCACCCATGAACATCTTTGAGGTCATATATGCAGAGATTCCAACCTCTTGACACAAAAAAACGGACTGAGTATCCTAAAAAATCAGATTTTGGAGAGAAAAATCGGATTTTCACAAAAACTCAACACTACCACTGGCCCGTTAGCCCCGGGCCAGTAAAATTGTGGAAAACTTTAATGAGAAAATTGTAAAGCAAAGTTTTTGTTGGGGTTGCGGGGTTTACTTGTACATGTTTCTATGCGATTCCGCTGTTATTATGGGTTTTAATTTTTTTTTTTTTTTTTTTTTTTTGTTGTTGAAAAAAAGAGATGAACTACAGTTGTAGATGGAATTTTGACTGCGCGCAGTCGAAAATGATGCCTCCGCCATAGAGCAATTTAAACAAGTTTGGAGTTTAAATCTCCAGTGGTTCTTGAGATATCATGATAACAATCTCAATGTATGGAATTTCATAAGTTGACCTCTGTGACCCTTGACCTTTGACCTACGTGCTCCAAAATCTAATCAGATTGTCTTCCTATGGTGATACACACTATCATTAAGTTTGAAGTTTAAATCTCCAGTGGTTCTTGAGATATTATGATATGGTGATACATACTATCATTAAGTTTGAAGTGAAAATTCTCCAGTGGTTCTTGAGATATTGCGATAACGATCTCAATGTATGGAATTTCATAAGTTGACCTCTGTGACCCTTGACCTTTGACCTACGTGCTCCAAAATCTAATCAGATTGTCTTCCTATGGTGATACACACTATCATTAAGTTTGAAGTTTAAATCTCCAGTGGTTCTTGAGATATTATGATAACAATCTCAATGTATGGAATTTCATAAGTTGACCTCTGTGACCCTTGACCTTTGACATACGTGCTCCAAAATCTAATCAGATCGTCTTCCTATGGTGATACATACTATCCTTAAGTTTGAAGTTTTTACATCTCCAGTTGTTCTTGAGATATCATGATAACAATCTCAATGTATGGAATTTCATAAGTTGACCTCTATGACCCTTGACCTTTGACCTACGTGCTCCAAAATGTAATCAGATTGTTTTCCAATAGTGATACACACTATCACTAAGTTTGAAGTTTAAATCTCCAGTGGTTCTTGAGATATCATGATAAAAATCTCAATGTATGGAATTTCATAAGTTGACCTCTGTGACCCTTGACCTTTGTCATACGAGCTCCAAAATCTAATCAGATCGTCTTCCTATGGTGATACATACTATCCTTAAGTTTGAAGTTTAAATCTCAAATGGTTCTTGAGATATCGCGCTAACAAACTCAATACAAGGAATTTCATAAGTTGACCTCTGTGACCTGTGACCTTTGACCTACGTACTCCAAAATCTAATCAGATCGTCTTCCTATGGTGATAAATACTATTCCCGAGTCTTAAGTTTAAATCTTAAATGGTTCTTGAGATATTGTGATAACGGTCAAACGGGACGGACGTACGGACGGACGGACGGACGTACGGACGTACCGGACGTACGGACGGACAACCCGAAAACATGATGCCTCTGGCACCACCTTCGGTGGCGGAGGCATAAAAATCGTATTTTAAGATTTTAAGATCGCATTTCACTCTTGTTATCGTACTATATACAATTTAATCGTACTGGTTGGCATCTCTATATATATGTGTAGGAACAGTACAATACAAGAATTTTTCCGGGTAATTCATCACTTTACAGTCAAACTCAACAGAAAGCATTACGTTAGTCCATAATTTTTGCGAATTGGTAACAACACCCATTTTTATTTATAGCAAGGAGATTTTTGTAGCTTGCAAAAAGTCAGTGTTATAAGTTGTTATTTTTCGCTCCTTGAAAATTTCACAAATTGTAAAATCTCACAAAAATTAAATGCATTCAGAATTTTCTTGTTGTACAGTACCATAGTGACACTCAAGTGCTCCTTCATCATTACAAGAAAGACGACTATAGTTCAAGACTTGTACTTTTTTTTGTTTTTTTTGCAAAATGTTTCATACAGGGGTTGTATAAAAACATACCGGTATTTGCAATAACTATATTTATAGTTAATGCAAGATTGACAATTTTCTTTTAAAATTTTTAATTATTTTCTTTAGTACACGGTGAATGGGAGGGGACCTTGCATGATACGTCAGAGAGTTGCCAATTTGTGTTTGATTGATCACACCTTCAGAAATTCATTACTTTATTATTTCTAATTGGTTTTGGTTTCACTGACCTGCTTCTCTCATTTAAGTGCTTCTATTAAAACCACCTAAATATCAGGGTGGACTTCCCCTTTAAATAAACATATTGTGTATAAATGGGTAAAGACTAACATAGCTTTGCACTAGTTGTATCAGGAGCAGTTACATTATAGTGCATATTACATGGATTCCATAGGCTCAATGTTTAGACCCTATAGTATTTCTGACAAGGTTTTGTGGCTCCAAACCAAAGTAAACTACAATAATTATGTACTTGTATGCAGCGTATGCAGCATAAGACACTTTCACAAGAGAGATCACAATATTTCAACTTACTGATGCTTGTGATGTCACTCTGGCATTGCGTCCCAAGTCTCCCATAGCTCCAAGAATGTGCTGGACAATGTTCTAAAAATGGGGGAAAGATGGGGAAAAACATGAAAGAATAGGTAAACAAAGATAATCTTTTCACCTTCATTGAAAGAAGTCTCTTGATAAAAGGATGCCTTTAATACTGAAATGGTAGTGCCAATTGCATGTCTAATCGTGAATTATCCTTTTTTTCCCTCATAATCAGCACTCATTATTTTCATTTAATAATGAAGAAATATTTAATTGATCATCATTAGTGATCGTCCCAATACATGAATCTTGGTTAAGGTATTCAGAGGTTATTTCCAGGCTGCTGCTAGCTCGAAACCCCATGGCAGACCTGATAAAACCTTAAAGGAGCCACTAGGAGAAGACATGGGAGCATCTGGCCTAACCAGGATGGATACTGAGTACCAGAAGGCTTGGAGAAGGGCCGTGAAGGAAATTGGAAAGTCCGACCCCAAAGCAATGAAATTACGGACGCTAAACGATGATGATGATGAGAGTAGAATATACAGCTTGCGGTTGCATCATGTGAGAGAGGGGGAGGATAGGGTAGTCCTGAAAATAATCCTCAGTAATCTTTCTTTCTTGAGAGTGTATGTAGTCCTGAAAAGGACTGTTTGTTGTCTTTCTTAGCTTATAGTTCTAAGGAGAGCATTAGCACCGGTTGGAGAGGTACATGTAGGGTGGTAGCACAGTAGAATGGAAGACATTCTGATAAAAAATAACAATACAGTTTATAACTACACCCTATATCACCTGAATCTAGAACAAATTATTATAAAAGGTAAACCTTTGGGATACAGCTAGCATAGTTCAATCCCTAATTTACTTTTAAAATGAACATATACCTGGACCTCATTTGAGTTTGCAGAGAGACCAGGCTGCTGAGAGGGGGCATTAGTGGTAGAGGATCCGCCCCTGCCTTGCTGGGAGGCACTCCCGCTGCTGGTGGTGGTAGCAGGTCGTGGGGGCGCCCTTTCCACCAGATGCATGACCTTTCCATGGAGGTCATACTCGGACAGCTTCTTCTCATCCTTGAGAACTTGGCCGCAAAAGATGAGGCGCTGAGTGCCTGCTGAGATAGCCTGCAAGCATTCATTTTTTTTTCAAAAGTAATAGAAAAAAAAGGTTATATAGGCCATTAAACCCTAACGTAATTACAGTGCGACCTGTGTAAAAATACTAAAATAATACATAGAAACTGGACTCTACAGGCAGGTAGTCTTATCTTGTACGGGTTCTTTTCAAACAAGTTTCATTGAGGAACTATTATCAAGGGAAAGAAAACTGGGGGCCGTTTCACGAAACCAACTCCATGACAGTCATATCTTTGTCAGCGACCTACGGAGATGTCATGAAGCGGATAAACCGTTTCACAAAGCCATGACAGACATGATATCGATATATCGCGATACTACCAGCTCAAGAAGATAGTCTTTGTCACAATCTATTCGATTGATCAAGAATAACCCAAAACAAGTTTTGGGGCTAAAATTGTTCAAAAAGAAATATATACATATAATTTCTCCTAAAATAAATAATAAGTAGTGTCATTATCAAATGTAAATCACCAAACGATTTGCATATTTCTGTAAAGATTCTGAAATTGAAGAAAAACCGGTGAGTGTTTTGTTTTCGACAGCCGAATGAAAAGTTAGTTGAAGGATACCGTAATGAGACTTTTTTGTTTATTGTGACGAGGAATTTTAGGCAAAATACCTTTTCTCAGCCAGTTTTTATTCTAGAGTTTCATAAATACTCGTTATATAATTGATTTGATATTGAAAATATAATTTGAAAGAAGTAATTAGAGAGGGAATAATAATGCACATAGGCCCCAACGGTATGACGGTATCCTAAGAAAAGACTATGGAAAACGGTGTGTAACATTCTTATCTCTCTTATTTATATGTTATAGTTTAATGATTTGTGATTTAATGTTTATATTCAGCTTTTTAAAGTTTCTGTATAATTTGTATTCTCACTTTTGTACATTCGTATTTCGCATCCCAGAGAATTACGTACTGAACTCGTCTATATTTTTCTCAAAATGATAGTGAAACTAATCGTATATTTCGCGGCCCATGGAATGGCAACAAACTGACTTGTGATGGTGTTTTACAGCAATTAAAAAGATATGACGGGTTCGGAGCAGTGACAACTCGCTTGTCGCGGAAGTTGTCGCTCATCTTGGCAAAGACGGCTTCGTGAAACACTTAGCTGACAAGTTGCGTGACAGTGGCGAGATGTTGTTGATCTTGTAGTTATAACGGTTTCGAAAAACGGCCCCCTGAAGTCTTAATGTATATTGACAGGTATTCTTTCTGTAAATGTAGTCACTATGTATCAAAATAGATTAGAAATGCAATGTTATCCCGTTTCTTCTTTGGATACTAACAAAACACAAAGCAATTGAATTAAAAAGGTGCTAGACCAATGTAACTATTATCAAAATTGTACATAAGTGATTTGTGAAAATTACTCACCACAGAACCAGCTATCTTTTCCTTGAACTCCTTCACAGTCAGCTATTTTAATGAAAAGAAAGAAACAGACATTCAAATGAGATCTACATGTATATACCCGGTATGTATATGAAATAAAGAAATGAAAAGACACTACATATTTTTTTTACCACAAGTACATGTAGGATTAATGGAACCCCAATGCAATTAATTCTTATGAATTTTGTGGGTTTACATCGCTAAAGATCCCTCATTTTTTAGCTCAACATTCCAAATATGAATGCATTTTGGAAACCATCAATAATTCATTTTGGAAGACGCTTCCTCTGAAAGCCATGCTATGCATGACAAACTAACAAGCTCGCATATCAACATCAAACTTCTGGGCCCCGTCTTATAAAGAATTGATAATAATCACAACTTTATTTTGGTTGATATCCATCTCAACTGTGAACATAGGAGATAGGCGACTGCAAACTTGCGATTGATTAGAGGACTTGCGATTGATCCAAATAATAAATAATAAAAACGGTGCTTATAAAGCGCCTACTACCGTTTATCAATCGCAACTCTTTATGAGACAGTGCACTGATGTACATGTAACAGATACATGTAATTGGGAAGGGGTTCAACTCTCCCAAGCAACACAAGAACACCCCTAATGGGACAACTTACATCCTCTGATACAGAGAACTGCCTGGTCTGTGAGTCCAAGGTCTTGATGGTGATATCTATCATTCTGCTCCTGTCTCAACTTGCGATGTTCTGGAGAGCTCTAACTCAAGGAAATCTGGAGAAGAGATAAATAAGGGGAAACAATGTTTTTCATTAAAGAGAAGTAAGATTTCAAAAATCTTATATCGCCAATCAAAAGAGGAACATTTAATTACAAAGGGACAGAATTTTCTTTGAAATTGGGTGTGAAATTACGAAAATATTGACAAAAGATCTGCAAATTTTGCAGTCATCTACATGTACGTCCATTCTGAAAAATTATTAACTTACCGATAAGGGTCTGGATATCTTCATTTTGAGAGCAGATATCCTCAAAAATGTAAGTAAAAAGTAGTACCAACTGATTGTATGATATCTTGCCTTGCCTTACAAATTATGAAATTACTTCATTTGTGATGGATTGCTTTTTTGATAAATCAGCTGTAAACCCCTGTGCGTGAAGTAAGGTCTCGTTGTTTTTATGGGTCTTTTACATTTTAGTTGCAGTGGGCATGCCGATCCGACATTGAATTGTTAGATCCAGAATCCTTTGACGATAAATTTTCTAGTTGAACCTAGTAGTAAAAAACTTTGCCATCAATTTGGTAATAATTGAAATAAATATATTTGTGTAGAATATGAGAAATCATCATAGATCTCTAGATCGAATATCAGTATTATCACATTTTCTAATACAAATATTTTCAATTAAAAAATCCCAGCAAACATTTGGTCACACATCATACACATAAATCATAATACTCATAACAAATAAACGGTCCAGGAACTCACACACAGCACGACTTACGTGGCACCTGACATGACTCTAAACCAGAGAAAGCAGAGAAAGGAACTACTTACTGAACTGCACCAAAGGAGAGCCCGTGGTGAGGAAAATATCACCATCGACAGGGGATAATTGTGACGCTGACAGATAGACAAAGATCCAAAACCACCATAAATGACATCAGTCTATCTGATCTCTTGAAGGGACAGAGACCCACCAAGGACAGGACAACAACCAAACATGATCAGGAGAATCTGGAAAACATTCACATGGTGCATCCCAACTCAGATGAACCACATGTACCAGAAGCAACTCAAGTGCATTATTCAGATCAGGCTCCCCAGGGACAAAGGGGACTCAATGAACTGGGTGCTGTTGGCGGAGCTCCAGAAAACCAGCAGCAATGACAAGAAGAGAAACTCTCAGAAAATGAAGTAGGAGTTAAAGGAAGAAACAATCATAAAATGAAATTGAAATGAAAAAAAAAAAAAATGAAATTGAGAATGATGTATACAAACAGTGACTCATTGACCAACAAAATGAATGAACTAAAACTGATAGTAGAAAGCGTGATCTGGACATCATTATGGTAACCGAAATAACACCGAAGTATAGCAGGTTTAAACTACAAGAACCATCCATTGCAATTCCAGGCTACAACCTGAACACCAATTTAGATTCAGAGGAAACTAGAGGAGTTGCGGTGTACGTCAAATGCAACCTTAACTTCACTGACATTGAGTTCCATGCAGACTTCAAAGAAATAATTGGTTGTCACATTAAACTTGGAGATAATAACTGTTTGAGTATCGCAGAAGCCCATCCAGTACACAAGAAAACAATGATCACCTTATGGTACTCCAAAAATTGGTATCAATTTCACCCACTCGTACCACCTTAATAATCGCAGGCGATTTCAACTACCCTAACATTGACTGGAGGGATTGTCATGTATGGAATCTGCACAACTATACAGCCAGCTCCTTCCTTGACTGCCTACAAGACTTGTACTTACATCAAATGGTGAAAGAACCAACTAGAATAGATACAGGGCTGCCCAAAATCGTAATATCCTGAGCAGCGTTTCTCGAAACCGTCATAACTACAAGTTCACCGACATCCCATTGAAACGTGTGTTAAACTTAATACACACGTTACAATGGGATGTCAGCCAACTTGTACTTATGACGGTTTCGTGACACGCTGCCCAGGATCTTGTCATAACCAACAAACCTGAACTGATGATGGGTGTGATCTGTGATCCACCATTGGGACGCAGTGATCACTGCTGTTTGTACTTTGATGTTATCTCGGAAAAGTCTGCAAGATGTCTGTCACAGCCAACTCAACTTCGGTTCAACAAGGGAAATTACGTTGATGAGAACTACATGATGTCAAACAATGACTGGATCAACACTCTTGCTAATAAGGACTGTGACGAATCATGGACAATTTTCTCTACTTATTATTGAATAAAGGCAAAATGATGTATGGGTGAATGTAATCTGCCATCTGGAACAGTATGTGCCATTCCACATCCGTCAATGCCATGCCTGGCTGAGCGACGGGGCCGGGGGATGCGCCAACTTAAAGTCCGTGAACTTTTTACTTGCACCATGTTAATAGCATTGCATCATGCACCTGGCTCTCGTAAGCACACACACACTCATCAGTCTGCAAGAATCTTCAACTGTGAAGGAGGTAGACTTAACCCAAAGAAGATGAAGAAGAAGAAACATTTGTATTTGAAATTATCATTCCTCAACTTAAACACCATACACAATTATCAGGGGGTGGGACTAGTATGACCAATTTGGAACAATCGAGAACATGATCATTTCAGGACGTTCGACACGACAAAAGATGGGAAGTCTACGCAAAATAGCAAACGCAATCGAAAACATGTTGAAAGTAACAATAGGACATTGATAAAATAGTTTATTTGCAATATTCTCACCGGAATCGCATGAATGAAAATGGTGTTCAGATCAGATTTCCGCACATAGATCTAGTAAGCAATATGCGCGCTGCGCTGGCGCGCGCTACATATGGCGTACGTACGTACGTACGTACGTGCGCGCGAGATGATAGACTTGAGCATTTAAAGGAAACCAAAACCTTCATACTAAATTACTTTTATTGTAAAGTTTAAGATGTTTGAAAAATATCAGTGAAAATTTGAACAAAATTGGGCAAGGAATAAAGAAGTAAGAGCTTTTTGAAATGACTAGTCACAATTTGATGACATAATCTGTGGACAACTCTCCATGCCTTTTGTACATCAAATTTCATGTTGTTTTTTTCTTTCTTGTGATTGAGACCCCCGAAAGCAAGATATAGAATGCATAATGATATTCTACTTCACATGTTATGAAGTTGGATCAAGAACTCAAAAAGCTCTTACTTCCTTATTCCTTGCCCGATTTGTTAAAATTTTCACTGATTTTATTCAAATCTTTTAAACTTTACACTAAAAGTAACTTAGTACCGGTATGAAGGTTTTGGTTTCCTTTAAATCTGAGTCGAGGTGGGGGGGGGGGGGGGGGGGCTTTAACAGAAATGATTGAAACGGGTGTCTATATACATATGTATATCCCTGTGTTCATTATTTCAGGGGGCGGAAAATTAAAGTCTCAGCTCCCTTGTTATTTTGAACAATCGATACATTACAGACACGAATCCTCAACTGGCAATTTAGGCAATTAAAAGATACACAAATAGCAGAGCCTCATTAAAAGAAGAAGAGGAAGAAAGAAAAACAAAAAAGAAGAGGAAGAAAGAAATAAAAAGAAGAAGAAGAAGTAACAAAAAGAAGAAGTAGAAAAAAGAAATGAAAAGGAGAAAAAGAACATAAAGAAGAGAAGAAGATCGAAGGAGATGATGATGGTGAATGAGAAGAAGAAGAAGAAGAAGAAGAAGAAGAAGAAGAAGAAGAAGAAGAAGAAGAAGAAGAAGAAGAAGAAGGAGAAGAAAAAGAAGAAGAAGAAGAAGAAAAAGAAGAAGAAGAAGAAGAAGAAGAAGAAGAAGACAAAAAGCCTATTATGCCCCCCCCCCCCCCCGTCTTAAAGGAAGACCTGGGCGCCGGTATAGGATTTTTTTTAAAGAGAGAAATGGGAAGACGTAAAGCAAATGAAAATTATTAAAACATAGAGTTTGGCTCCGGTCACTGTGCTGTTACTAGGCCTGTAGCTAAAGTGCAAATTGTCATTATACAATTAAGTTGGAATATATGTGCTCGATCTCTTCGCTCGCTCGCCTACGTGATCCTTCTCCCTAGTAATACTTCACAGTTCGATCAGAGCATGGCGTTTTAAAGATTTTAAAGATCTGGGACGCCCGGTCTCCCTGGAAATCTCAAATTGTTGCTCCCCACCCTTCCATAATGTGGAAACAATGTCTTCTCAAATGCATATTTTAAAAAAAATAATAATATTGTCTTAACTCATTAGGAAAAGAGAGACAGACAGTATGGAAATTATGTAATTTTCGGCCTGGCGCCACGTGAAATGTTCAGCAATAACTTACCACGGGCATTACTTGCTACTAGGTTGCAAGTTTTTCACTGCAAAATGCAATATAATAATAATAATAATAATAATAATAATCTTTAAAAGTCCGATCCCAATTGTATTAAACCGAAACGGATTTTTTTTTTGCCCAATTGATTGTGAACCCGGCACTTATCGCTCCTAAAAAGGGGCACTTATTTGAATGAAAAAGGGGCACTTATGTTTGTTTGTTTGTTTGTTCTGTTTTATTTCCACTTTTTCATAACAATACAAAGAAAAGAAAAAATATAATGAATAACATGTAAGTTTGACAAAATTTGTTTCTAGTTAAAATAAAATTTTCATACAAAAGGAATAAGCAGGAGACCACATAATAAAGGAAATTGTGTGGTAGTGGAAAGAAAATGGGCACAGATCAGATTTTAAAAGGGGCATTTATCGGAGGTAAAGGGGGTACTTATCTGAAGTGAGGGTAACTTGTAGTACCTGAAAGTGTCTGAGAGAAGGGGCACTTAAGAGAAGGGGAAGGGGCTCTTCTTCTAATGAGGCACTTATCATTAAGAAAGGGGAACTTATTAGAAAGGAAAAAGGGCACACGTGAAAATATTAGGCGCGCTTATCCAAGTTTAAAAGGGAAAGGGGCACTTCTTACAAATGAAACGAGGCATTTGTCAAAGTATGAAGAGGCACCTCTCAGATTTGAATAGGGCAATTATTAGAGGTTACCAGGTTGCCCGATAAAGAGGTACCGTATTTGTCCTACAGCTCCCTTAGGCCTAAGCAGATTTTTTTTTTTTTTTTTTTTTTTTTTTTAGAGAAAAAGGTGTAATGGATTTTTAAAAAAATGTATTAAAGCATTCGAAACTGAAATATATCAGCCCCAAGACGGAGAGAGAGAGAGAGAGAGAAAAAGATTTCCGACCGACCCATGTTTAGGCACCTAAAGGGCAATACAACATTTTTTTTTAAAAGGCCTTATTGTAGAACTGGAACCACTGCTCGACGAACAAACCGGCCATCGCATTTGGCGCCCCCCCCCCCCCTAATCTTCCATCCCGCCCTCTCCACCGCTGGACTGCGTCATTTTTTTCTGCAGCACAGATTTTTTTTTTTTTTTTTAAAGAGTTCTTGATTTAACACTAACCCTAACCCTAAACTTTCCCGTAGGCTCAACACGCACCTTACCCCAAATCTGTGCCGCAGAAAAAAATAACGCCGCCGGGCTCCACTGGTGCCCCTCGAGGTTCGGCACGGTACTACGCGTATAGAAAGAGCGAGTACGAGTAAAGTAGAAGGACTTTGTCCATATTATGCGTTGTTATGGAATGGCGTTATGCACACAGCTACACGCTTTACAACGGATTTGAAAATGTATTCGGATTGTAATGTTTTTTCTTTTCTCACCGGGGCAATGGATTAATGATGTGATTTTAGGAATTTGAAGGTAAGTCTCATCAGTTTGTCACCTGTATTGATACATTTTTTGAAGGCCAGTTTTTAAACAAGAGTCCATATTCGTATTTCGTAGTAAATAAATTACGCCACTGCCCGTTGGTCGAGCAGCTGCTATTCAGGAACGGTCTTGCCATCTCATCGCAGCCAGAGTTCGGGCGTCTGTGGCCAGTGCTTGTGTGTTCGACAGTAGTAGTATGTGGGGCCCGGGGGTTACGGTGTAACTTTACATTACAAAGTGTATGCCCGGACACTTTTTTAACGCATGACTTTAGGGTTTTGTTTAACGAAATTAATGAACCAGGTAGCACAAACTAACTAACTGGGCCAACTAACTGTTATTAGATGGCTTCTATTTATCTAAGAAAAAAAGAGGGCAACTTTGAACTTAAGTCCTGAATTTGAAATGACATGTTTATCTCCTTCACTTTTCATGAACGGGTAAAGTCAGAAAATCTCATGACTGATATATTTTTCTTCTTTAAATGACAGTGATTGTTAATACGAAAATAGACAGGTTTAAATCTGAAAGCCTGTTCAGTCAAACTTAGGGATTTTTATTTATGAAAGTCGGTTAAACTTCATTTTAAAGAAATATTGTGTAGATCGAGATTCCTAGGCCCTAAACTTTTTAAAGAATTGTGGAGCAAAAGGAATGAAAGATCTGGACCTCTAGGCTCTAGCTTTAGTGGATATGGTTAGACTTATGGTTTTCATACTTGTACAATGTACATGTTACTCACTTAAAACAATTTGTATAGTATGATGTAGATCTAGACTACATTGTTTTTGTTTTATTTTACTTTCATATTTTGCTAATGTTTTGGTTTGTGTTGCTTTGAGTATGTAAAATGATTTAATCATTTAAGTGTAAACATGTACTGTATGGTGGTGTGACCAAAGTTCGCGCGTGACCAAAGTTCGCTTTCTCAAAAAATCGGTAAGATTTCGAAAATCTGAAATCACCAATGGAAAGAGGGTCATAAAATTACCCAGAAACGAAATTTTCTTTAGAATTGGGTGCGAAATTGTGAAAATATTGACAAAAGATCGGCAAATTTTGCAGTTATTTGCGTCCGTTCCGAAAAATTATCAACTTACCGATAAGGGTCTTGAAATCTTCATTTTGAGATCAGAAATCCTCAAAATTGTAAGTAAAGAGTGGTACTAACTGATTGTACGATATCTTGTCTTGCAAATTATGATATTACCTTATTTTTGATGGATCGCATTTTTTGATAAATCAACTGTAAACCACCGTGCGTGAAGTTAGGTCTCATTGTTTTTATGACTTTTTTAGATGCAGCGCGCACGCACGATCGGACATCGAATTTTTAGATCGCGATATCTCCGAAATCCTTCGACGGTAAATTTTTCTAGTTGAACCAATCTGTAGTAAAAAACTTTGCCGTCCAGTTGGTAATAATTGAAATAAATAAAGTTGTGTAGAATGTGAGAAATCATAGATCGAATATCACATTTTGTAATATGTTCTAAAATGTCCGCGAACTTTGGTCACCCCTTCATACATGTACATGTAAGTATGTACACATGTACATGATGTACATGTACATTTATTTATGGGGGGAATTGTTACTTTTGTCAGTCAGGTGTCTTTGACTGCCTTTAAACCAACAAGGTATGTACAGTAGATGAGCTGGGCCGCTTGTAATTGAAATGTGAGCCAGCTGTCGTAAAGAATGAAATGTTTGTCAGTTGCTTTGCATGAAACAGGCAGGCGCTGACAGGGTTCAAGTTAGCGTGGGGCCTAGTTATGGGGTCTAACCCACTTTTCTGCGATATATATATAATTTATATACAGGAAATAGAAGACATTATAGAACACCTACGTGGATCCTTGTCTTTTGATTGGAGGATTGTTGGTCACATGATATTCAATAGATGTTATATTGCACGGTCATGCATTTTTGGTTATATGAATATATGCGCCGTGCATTTTTGGTTATATGCAGTTTGCGTACCTCTCAGCCGTGCGCACCCGTACCCCTGCGTGTATCTGACGCGAAGGTAATTGAGAAGGCTTGACTCCAACTTTAATTTATCTTTAATATGAGGAGTTAAGCATAATTTGTTGATTAGCGTTCTATTAGATCTTCTTCGATGTTGTATAAAACAATTAATGAATGTTTTTCATTCGTTCAATGGTGCAAATATTTTCATTCGTTGAAAGATTAACAATGAAATATTTGCCATGGTGAATTATGTGTTGCCTACATGTAGGCTAATTCATCATTCTAATCAACCCCAAATTGTTCAGTGTCTCCTTTTAGTGACATTCCAGAATGATTTGAATGACACATTGTACACTATATATTTTCAATTCAATTCAGAACTTTATTTCAGACTCAACTACACAAGGCAGAGGTCCATAAAACATATGTTACATAGATATATAGGGAGTATAAACATGATGAGTATAATAACAACAAAACTATACAAAGAGTATAACTAAACTATACTAGGTCTACAGTACGTACAAACAATCTAAACTCTAAGAGTAACGTGTAACCTGCAAGGTTGATAAAAAAATTAAAAAAAAAAAAAAAAGAGCAAAAAATCACAGGTAATTTTGTGTAAATTTCTAATGCAGTACAGTGTGCTTTTCATGAATAAGAACGATTTGATTGTACATATTGTATGTACAATACATGTGTGTATTGCAAACATTACAGTCTCTAAATTGGTAAAGCAATGTGAAATCACTACAATTTTTTTTTTTTTTTTTTTTTTTTTTGGGGGGGGGGGGTTGAATTTAGTAATTTTTATTCATATTGTCATCGGTTCATTTCATAATATACATATTTATCTTTTGGAACTATGCAGGATTTGAAAATAATAACTCCTGTCAATTTGAGGGAGAAAAAGGAGATTAACACTGTATTCAAAGACCTTTGTACATAATCCTTTGAACTGCTACGGGTTTAAAAAAAATATGTAAATTTGAAGGGGGAAAAAATTACTTGGTTAAATCGTGGATCTACAGTGTACTAAGATGTACTCTGTACTGTAGTACTGTACATGTACATGTACATGTATTTACCGGTATTTTAAAAAATTGGCCTTGAGTGCAATTGTGCAAACTAACTGTGCTGTCCTCATGTACAATGAGAAAGTTTTTAAATGCAACTTTTTCAATAAATTACATTGTAGGTAGATATTTTGAAGTGGACTAAATTAGATCTTTTATTTAGGATATAGTATTACATGTACATGTACAGTGTAGTTACCCATCTACAGTAAAAGATATAGAGTTGAACATGATTTTTTGCCTTTGTCATGCTAAGTATTCAATTACACGGAGCAGGTATCACTATTGATCATGACCCTATTGCATCAATGGTACTGATGATTGATTGTCCTGTGTTATTGTGTTGTTGGCAGAGGACTTTATATTATTTGTCAAACAATACCACTCATGATCAATTGCAATAGGCCATTTTCGTAATGTAACTAAATTAAATGCATACGTCTTTGTGAAGTGCCTCAATACAATTTATTTCATTCACCTGATAAGAATAATAGTATTTCAATGGACAGAACTCTAACTGCATATCGGTACATTAGTTGTTGCCAGGTACGACAAACATTATGGCTTGACCTACCTAGCATCACTTAATATATGCAGTTTGCATTCTGACTATTGAAATACTATTATTCTATTATTCAGTTGAATGAAATAATTTGTATCGAGGCACTTCACTAAGAAGTTTATGCATTACCAGTAAATTTGTTTACCGTACATTACGAAAATGGCCTATTGGATACAAATAGGATTGCATGTAGGCCTATAGATATTTGTAGATTTCTCACTCACTTTCACATAAATAACATCTTTAGAGTGATGCTACCACTGAATTATAATTAGTAATATACACTTTTATGTAGTTGTACTAGTAGACCATACAGGTAGAACAGTTTGTTCCAACACAACTTTTCTGCAAGAGTTAAATAACAGAAACACCAATACAAACAGAAAATGTAGAAGAAGAATTGAATGCGGCTTTAGATCATCATAACAACATGTGGTCTGACAGTAAAGAAAAACAAAAATACCCAAAGATCCCACAAATCACTGCATGGGGCATCATCCCCATGGCAACCAACCTTCAACCCTGTAAACGTCACAATCAGACTTTTTTGCTATTCTTTTGGAAGATGCCCTTTCTGAAAAGTTTTGGCCTTGATGAAAACAACAATATTCTGGTAATGCTCCCACAAAAATGCTGTTATTATTGGGGTACTGTATATTGTAGTGTGAAAAGATGTGTTTTGTTCAAATTTGTCACTAACACGCCATTTACATTACCGGTATTTTTTATATTGTGGGATATCATTAATTTTGAAAGATTTAAGCAATGAAGTGATCTAACTTTGATGAAATCAGTTCTGGTTTGAGGTATACTTTTTATGGAAATACAGTCACTGTTTCATTTGAAAGGACTTTGACAGAAAATAGCAATGTGTTCCGCACAGATTTTGTCTATCAGAAACTAAAGACGGAAAGGAAAACCTATAGAGAACTAATGAAGAATCATACATTCTGAGAGAGATAGGAAATATAACTTTTCAAAAGCACTTGTTCAGTTGGTCTATTGATTTTATTAATTGCTGGAAGTAACTGTTCCTCGTTTAGTTTTGAATTTCTCATTTCAAAAGTCATCTTTTTCGTAATATCGGACAGTATTTACAAATGTAACTATTTACAAGTGTACACATGACACATTTACAATATCTACAGCACATGACAGTTCATAATGTACACATTTCCAGTATGTATATGAAAAGGAACCTTGTGACTAGAACTGCTCTGTTAGCTGTTTCAGTTTCATATTACATTATTGTTGTCTGAACTTGGATAATACAATGATGATATTAATTACCGGTAGACAAAGCTTCCTCAACGTTTATGGATTGGGTATTATATGCTCGCTCTCTATGCTGTGCACATCCCACAAAAACAAAATTATTAAA